TCAAGTGTGTTCGCGCCCCCCTAGGGGGGGGGCGCCCCACAGGTTGAGAATCGCTGCAAAAAACAACAATTATTGCGAAGCAATCATTGGGGTTGGTGAGCAGCAGGGAGCAGGGGACTTTAATAATTGTTTATCAGGATAAACAATATACAGATATAACTATAGCAAAAATTAGTCGATACAGGAAAAGTTCAAAAAAAGTAACGAAACATTGAATTAACAGTTAGAATATGAAAAACAAATTAAATTTTCCCCCACATTTTGTAATTTTTTTTTTCCATTATGGGAAGTATTTAGACCATTTGGATCATTTCCCTGTCTGCTATATCCCTTCAGGATCTTGCAGTCATAAGACTCTTAGAAGTCCTGATGACGTTCGAAATATTTTTCTAAATAATTATAAATACTGCTCGTTTTTTATCTTAATTTTAGTATTAAAAATTCGAAAACAACACGCATTATTTTCCTTCTTATTATATAGACCAGGGGTTTCCAACTTACATGAGCTGGGGCAGGGCCGGATTAACCTATAGGCACACTAGGCACGTGCCTAGGGCCTACGAAATTCAGGTGCNTTTTTTGCACCGTTGGTATGTTAAATTTCACAGAAACGAAGAAATTAGGTTTTTTTTTAAGATGAAAGAAAAGTATTTTAAACCCATATTAATTTTTTACGAAAATTGCTCGTAAAAAACGACAACTAATATATTTTAGTTCGCGGGCCACAAAAAATGGCTTCGGGGGCCGGATGCGGCCCCAGGGCCACCAGATGGAAACCCCTGATATAGACCAAACTGAAAAGAAGGCAGTAGTCTCTGAATTTCAAGGGGCTCGACAAAAAAAAAGCTTAAAAATCAAAATTATTGCATTAGAAAATACAATGATTATTTAACTGTTGCCCTGACATGCAAAATTCCACGCGTCTACTACTAATGACCACATACTAATGGCTTATTAATTGTAAAAAAGTTAAGCAATAGTATAAAAATTAAGTGAGAAAATTTGAAAAAAAAATTAAGTTTTTAGTTTTTGGGAATGAAATTCTGTAAGGAAAAAAAAATTTATTACAACATTATTGGTGAAAATCTGAAGTCCTAGAGACACTGTTAAGAAGAAAAAATTTTTTTTAAGGGCACCGCAGAGCACCTTTATTGACTAACACGTTTTAATCAACGCACGATATACTACTAATACAGCAATATTAAGATTTTCTGAATACATTAGAAAATAGGTATTTTTTTAGTTTAAGTTTCAGTTTAAAAAAAAAAATACAAATTCAATAAAGAATATGTGATAATCTTGTACAGTTACATATTTATTGCACAATTTTGGAATTGTGCAATATTCGCCTTTATGGAGAATTGTTTTAAGTAAAACCAGCCTGCATTTGCGTTACCATAAAAAGTAAAACAGCTAAATCCTCTCCTGGTTACCTCGGTGAGAGTGGAATTATAAACTGCGATCTGTTTACCACAATTTTTACAAGCACTGCGAACAATATTTGAATGAGCTAGACAACATTGGGATTCGAACCTAGGTCGCTTTTCTCAGAAGCGGAAGGCGCTCGGTTTCCAAAACTTTCCCATGAAAAATATCATAATAAAATAAATCTAATCCTTAATTATCAAAGAAGAAGAAACAGTTAAGATATATATAGATAAATATTTAATTCCTGCATAGATAAAGACAGCTATCACCGGAGCTGTAATTTAAAAATTGCCATAAAATTTTTTTTTTCATTAATTACAACAGGAGAAAAAAAATTATTCCATGTTTGCATAGAAAAATCAATCAATCAAATCATTTAAAAAAATTGTGGAATCAGAAATGATTGCTTTAAAAGGTGCATTATACAACACATTATATATGATTGCATTATACAGAAATTCTGCCTTTGCAAGTGTTATAAGTTAAGAAAAATTTGCATGAAAAGTTACAAAGACAAAATGTAATATTTTTAGAGGTAACAGATTGTTCTTTTAGTTTGCATTATCTACAAAAACTTAAAAGCACACATTATTTGCTTTTATCGGTCTATAAAAGTCTAAAGTATGTAAAAGACAAGTATCAAAAGATGCAATTAAAAATTTATTTACCTTTAATCAATTCTACTTCTTCATAGAACATCAAACTAAAGAAGTAATTATTCCAAATTTTCCACCAAGCGGCAACACACAACACGTCTCCGAACACGCACTTCAAGGTCTCCAACAATCCACATATTGTTTCTTTAGAAAGAAGTATATTTTCTTTCCCTCTTAGAGAAGTTATGATTTCCTTTTCAAGTTAAGGTGACCAGAATCATGTATCATGATTTGAGGACAAATCAGCGAAACGTCCTTGAAACATTTTACGATTTGAGAACACTCAGATATTTATGGACAACATTCATATATGTGTGCAACAAAGGATTTTTTAAAAAAAATTGGTAGCTATAACATCAAGTGCAGAATCATCAAACTTGATTTCATAAAGCAATTTTAAAATATCTAATATTGCGCAATTGAACGCATGTAAAATGAATGGTTACATGATAATAAAAATTTGTTTATTTTATAATGTTTTAATCTGTTAATTTTAGATTTATTTTTTTTTTTTTTTTTTTTTTTTTTTTTTTTTTTTTNTTTTTTTTTTTTTTTTTTTTTTTTTTTTTTTGGTAAGAAAAAACTCTCTTGTTTAGAAACATATGCATTACTCATTTTTTTAAAAAAAAAGAAAAAAAGGAATTTATGTTTCGGAGAAATTTGAGAAATCATGTTAAAAATTGTGGATATTTTCTGTCTTCAAAGAGTTTGAGAGTTTTTGAAGACAATCAATGAAATTCGAGTACTGTCCTTAAGATTTGAGGACGTTTGGTCACCTTAACTAAGATGCCGATTTCTATTTGAACCGTAGGGAAAGCATAATAAAAAATTACTAAGGTTGACTATCACAGAGCCTGTTGAAAAATATACGTAATCATGACTTGAACACTTTAAATCCTTTCATCTCATCAGCAACATCTCTCTCCCATACTTTTTTCAAATAAATTTTTCTCCAGAATTTGACTAGTTTTGCAATTTACCAAGGGTTTTCCCCCCCTACAAATTGAATGTAGTGTTTCACGTAAGCTTTTCTTACGCATTCGTTTTCTCCTTGACAACAAAAACGAGACAATCGCTTACTCCGGCAAATGACAATAACCGGAAATTAGTTACGAATCCAGAAATTTTCACCCATAAGCATGTAAGATATGGATGGAAACATTTGTAAATAAGAAAAAATAATTATTGTATTTTTTATGCCCATGTTCATGTTGGCATGGTTATGTTTTTTTCTATTTTATTTTATTTTAAAAGTTACAGCAAAAATGTATTTTTCCTACACATGGTGATATGCACAATGTGTTGATGCAAGCAAAATTGTATATCAGCCTTTTTAAATTTATTGGTGAGGGAAAATATTAAAAGAGAACTCACCAAATTATTGTAACAATAAACCTTTAATTTATAAATATTATTTTTACAAATGATTACTGATCAAAATAATTTATGTTCGCTAATAGATCTTAATAAAATCTTTCGTGTGAAAAATGCGTTATACCAGCGTTTCTCAACCTTTCAGTATTCGCGGCCCAGTTTCTAATCAGAATTTTCATCGCGCCCCCCGCTTACAGTAAAATGTATACAACAATAATGTATATTGAGTATTTTGAATTCAGTCTTTAAATTATTTTTAACTGCCAAAACAAAAGTAAAGTAAAAGCTAGCAGCAATTGAGATTGTAAATTGACTATGTTCGGAGATGATTTTTCAAAACAATTACAGTTCACACTTCTTTCAAATGATACTGTTGCTTGTCGAATTGGTGATCTAGCTGAAGATTTAAAATGACAGCTTTTCTCAAAATTGCGTGTCAAATTGTTTTCAATACAGCTTAATTATGCAACAGATATTAATATAGATGCTCTTTTAATTGCCTATATTCAATTTTGTGATAATATGTTAGTTGTAGAACTACTTTTCTGCAAATCAATCGAACTCAAAATAACAGCGATAGCATTATTTGCTATTTTAAATGATTTTATGAATGAAAAGAACATGGAAATCAAAAATTGCGTCGGAATATGCACCGATGGTGCTCGTACAATGTCCGGAAGATTCAAAAGTGTACAAGCACTTGTAAAACAAAAATCGCCTCAATGCGTCTGGACACATTGCATGATCCACAGAGAAGCTTTGGCTTCGAAAGAAATAAGTCGTGGTTTGAATATTGTGTTAACTACGGTTGTAACCATAGTAAATTATATAAGAATGAGACCCCTGAGATCGAGAATCTTTTCCGCACTTCGTAAAGACATGGGTTCAGTACATTCAGCATTACTACTTCATTGTGAGGAAAGATGTTCATCACGTGAGAAATTTTTGCAACGTGTTTATGAATTAAGAGAAGAAATCACCATTTTCCTAGAAGATAGCAGACCGGAACCCGAGAATTTTCGCGATTGTTTATTTGTGATGAAATTGAGCTACTTGGTTGTCTTATTCCAGAAATTAAATAACTTGAATCTTCAACACCAGAAAGCAAATACACATATGTTGGATACGAGTGATAAAGTTAATACTTTTTGTAGAAAATTGGAATTGAGTGACAGAAATTTAACGCAAAAAAATCTAACAATGTTTTCAATTTCAAATGTGGATAATTGTACTAACACTTATAAAGCTGAAGAACATATAAATGCCGTTTTTGTAACCACTGAAAATCATTTAGCCATGCTGGCGAAGAATTTGAAAAAGTATTTTCTTGCTGACGACAAACTGATAGCAAGTTACTAGTGGGTTAGGGATCCATTTCATAAGACTTCCGAAGGACTCTCAATTAATGAGGAAGAAAAATTCACAGACTTCACGACAAGTTTCGAAACCAAAATACAATTTAGTAATTAATCACTATTTGAATTTCGGGCAAGAGTAGAGTATGATTTTCTGCACTAAAAACAAGGGCTTTTCGCATCTTATGACCAGTTTTAACATCCTACCTTTGTGAAATAGGGTTTTCTGCTGTGACTTCTTTGAAGATCAAATATAAATCTCGGCTAAATATAGAAACAGAACTGAGAGTGGCTATTTCTAATATGAAGCCTTAGCTCGAAAAACTTTACTTTGCAAGACAGGCCCAAGGAAGTCACTAATAATTATCAAATTTGTTTTCAATTTAGTATGTTTTTATTAAGTAAGGTGGGTGAACCAAATGTGGTTAGTGCTTCTAACGTAGCCCATCCCCAGTGGCGTAGCGAGGGGGGAGCAAGGGGGGCATCATGCCCCGGGCGCTACTCACAGAGGGGCGCCAAATGGTCAGCAAAACAAAAAAAAAATTGTTGGATAATTTTTTATTTTTATTAAAATTTATTTCTGGAAAATATATTTTAAATTTAGTGCCAGTGAAATATAATAAATGTTAATTCGTAAATAAAAAGGAACACTATCAAACTGTAATAATGTATTCATAATAAAAATGACGCGTCTTTTCTAATGTCAGGGCTGACTCGACCTGTGTCTGTCAGCACTTCCTTATGGCATCTACGCTGTGTGGTTACATATATTATCTCCAAATATTTGCAGTGTACAAGGTTCAAACATCAGTGTACAAAGTGTTTGTATGTTTGTACAGTGTACAAACATTCTTTCTTTCAAAATACTATTTATTTTTATTTCTATAAACGCAAAGTAGCTTACGATCAATTTTATCATTAAAGTATGATCAACTTTAATGATGTTATTGATAAATTTGCTTCATCAAAAGCGGAAAATTAGTTTTATTAATGTATTATAATCAT